TATTAAAATTAACTCACATTAATTGCTCTTGTTTTTGTTAATTCATTACGCATATCAACAACGGCCAACACACGGCGCAAATAATCACTTTCTTCAGTTGTTGAAAATGCTAAAATTAGTAAAAATATCTTTAATGAACTAAATTAATTAACAAAAAATAACTTACGAATGGACATATGTTTCAATCCTTTTAATTGATTTTCCAGATCAATAATTCGTTTTCTATTACTCTTTATTTCAATTTGAATATGACGAGGTAAAATTAATTCATCATCCGATGCACTATCATCATTAAAGATGGTGTCATTTTCTTGTCGATCAACTCCTGTTAATTTTGTTTGTTGTTGAGATTGATTTAAATCAGCTGGACATTTCGATGACATTTTATTGTCAAAGGAATTGTTATTAGAAAGGTCTACAACGATTGAAGATTCCATAGCTGAAACGGATGATTCAGGTTCATCATTGGTATTATTTTCATTAAATTGTCGCTTCTGATTATCAAATGCATTTTGTTGATTGTTTTGTGTTGTTTTATCAATTTGAGTTGATTTCTTAACAATCGTAATTGATGAATTTGTTTTCATTTGCATTCCAATAATCTCAGGTTTGTTTGATTCATTTTTTCGCTTTTTTTGTTTAAATGTTGTACATTCCGTTACTTTGTTATTGTTATTTGATTCGGAGACAATGGTAACCAACCATGTTGACTTATCAACTGTTAAAGAAGTATTACCTTCACAATATTCTTCGCATTCCTCGAATGTTCCTATTAAAAAGCGTCAAGAAGAATATGATATAATATATAAGTAAATATATGGTTTTATCTAATCTTACCTTTAAATAGGAGTTTACCTCGAAGACGCCGATGTCTATCATTTTTGTCAACAAATAAATAATCACCGTTTACTTTTATTTTCACGTTTTTTGATGAGTGTATGCAGCTTGCTGGAACAAAACTTACTTCATTTTCATCAAATTTAACTACACATATCGGATCCATTACTTATTGTATGTAGCGTGACAAACAGACTGCTGTTGCATAGCCATCTATATATATGTCGTATCGAAATTACAACGGTCGTCGAAGTTGCAAGGTCGACAGGTAACAATGCCTGTCGACCTTGCAACTTCAACGACCGTTGTAATTTCGATACGACATATATATGAAAGAATGACCTTATAAACTCAATGAACAATCCAGTATGTTATTGCTATTCTAATAATAATTATTTTTAAGTGTCCAGCTAACTAAAGTTAGTTGGATGAGATCACCAAATCAAATTGAAGAATCACTAAAGAAACTGAATTTCAAGAAGTTTCGGCTCATCAAAATTGAATTGAATAATGAAAACCGTTTCGTCGCTAGATTTGCCGAGAGAGAGTAATCAAAATTTCGATAGGCTTGGAGTGCTCGAAATTACATCGAGCAATCGAAAGTAGTTGTCCGATGGGTTTTTTCTCTTCGAGTAGTCGGTAAACCGATCATTTTCGAGTGGTCGAAATGTATTCGAGAAGCCGAAAATAAATGTTCGATAGGAGTATGCTTCCGAGAGGTCGATATTCGATGGGTACTGAGGGGCTCGAATATTGAACAGAACGAGAAAAAAATATATATGTCAAGTTTCTACCACTCGTTGCGCCCATCGATAGCTTTTTTCTGTTTGCTTGAGTATTTCGAATAGTTTAAGTCTAAGCACCGTAGAAAAGCATTTCTTTTATTACCGGTCGAAAGCTTATAGAGTTCTCTACTACCACCATACCGTTTCTTGTAGATCAAACGTTCTAACTTTGTTTAATAGTGCTTATGCGAATGTTCAACCTTAATGAATATTGCAAGAAAGAAGATGAAAGATTAAACTTTTTATCAAAATTATTGACTCCTCAGATCAATCAATTCAATATTAGATCTGATAAAATCTTGTACGATCCGGTCGGTCGACAGAATTCCTATGGAATTCACATGGCCTCACGTCGTCAAGTAAAACAACCTCGATCGGATATCATCGCATTCAAATAATTTCGTTCGGATTTTTTGCGATCGGATTTCAGTTGGCAGATGCGACCAAATCACTCAATCTTTCGATAAGGAATTTAATCAAACTTTATCGAAATACGACAGTCTTGCTTTGCCACGTGAAGAACTACTGACGGATCTGACGGTCGAATAATAGTTACTACTCATTTAGTTCCTATCAATCAAACCCTTACTCGATTATAATATTGAAACTCAATTTTATCAAACTGTCAAATGCTATCATTTTTGACTGTAGGATTCGGTCATATTTCAATATTAAAGATTCCGATTATCAGATCCGACTGTTAGAATTAATCATTTGGATGGATAACATAGAACTGCTGTTTATCCATAATCTAATTATTTTTGGCAATTAAGTTTAATTTTATCTTTCAAGTAAAATAATTTCCTATGATTAAAAAGTCTTCAAAACGAAATGAATCAACATTTCTTTTGCTAATGGAATTATTTAAAAACATATAACTCTTGTCAATGAATGTGAAACCTTATAGAAAGAAGATAGACATACATGTTGGTCCTCAACAACAAAAAGGTTGAAATTTCAAATACAATTTTTCTCTGAATCTTTATTTCTTGTAGTTTAAATCGCAGAAACTGACAAATAACAATGAACTTTTCAATCGACTTAAATATTGGTGCCCGAAAATTCAAAATTTGATCATAGTATTACTTTAGTTTCATATTATGTTTTGTCTGTTTTAAATAATTTATGATGGAAAAAAATCTTTTATTCTTTTCTGTAATAAACTATAAAAAATGCACAATAAAGAGCATCATTACTATATAAGTAGATGGAAGTCCTTGATACTGTATTGATGGATTAAGAAATATGCTTCTAATCAAAGACAAAGATTTAGTTCAACTATAAAAAGTTTCAAGTTTATACTAACTATGCTTCCTGCTTTTTATTGTCATCCTTTTCATGAACATGATCATCACCATAGTGCTTATTTTCAACAGAAGACCTTTAAGAAAAAAATCATGAAATTATGATATTATCAAAAGAAATCAATGAACTATTCTTACCAATCGATGTTTGGAAGTGCTGTAGTTACATCAAATGAAGGTTGTGTTGGTATTGAAGATAATGATTTATCCAACATTTCAAAAACCGTACCCGGGTCGATCAAAACGGATACCCGCTACGGGACTGTTTTCAGATAGTAAATGATGAAAAAACGGCTAGTTTACGGCGGTAAATAGTCCGTATTACCCCGTATACTTGACGCAGTAATACGGTACCGTATACCGTGAAATTACGGCCGTATGCGGTGAAAAAGTCACTGTAGTGCGGCCCGTAAAATTGCGTCCACTCTTACGGCCGTAATACGGTCCGTAGAGTAACCGTATCGTCCGACCTGTGTAGGTTCATTAGCATATTTAATTTTCATTTTTTCAATGTTTTTATTATAAGTATACCATGTAAAATTATTTTTCTTGTTGGATCGAATTGAAAAAGTAGAAAATCCGAAACATATTCCATCAATCAATTTTCCGAAATCCATTGAAGAAAATCCAAGATCTGACACTTTTACAGTAATGTCGCACGTACACATGCTCGATATATATATGTGTGATCCTCTATTATCTATCATCTTCTTTGACCTTGAACTGTTTTCTCTTCTCTTCTCTCTCTCTCTTTTTCTCTATATGTACATGTCACCAATATAAGTTAAGGACATTTTTCTTGTTAAATAAAGTTAGCGTACAAGGATACGCACAGAAAAGATATACATCTAACCTTAACAGACACACAATCGTAATATAACGAAATATCAGATGGATTCACAGTATTATTCTGATCGTCTTCGTCCATGCCTACAAGATCGAAAGATTATCAAGGATATTTTCAAATTTCATAAAGATTCTCACTCATGGCTTCTACTTCGTCATGTTCATTCATTGAAAATGAAACGGCATTAAGAATGATCACGTTGTTCATTAATTTTCTGTATAAATCATGCGAATATGTATTATCAAAATACTTATTTAATTTACCCAGTGCTTCAGTATCTTTTGTAGCCAAAAAGGAACAAGCTTGACGAAGAATATCATTTTCTATTGCTTGTCCACCACCTACGATTAAATGTAAGTCATTGAGATTAGAAATAAAATCATTTGAAAATTCATTGAAACATTTTCTAAGTTCTTTTTGTAAATGATCCAAAATGAATCCTAATGTATCAAATGGATCTTTTTCAAATAATTTTGCAGTATGATCCAGATAACAAAATCGTTCATTGTTATATAAGCCCGTGAGTAAAAAAAATTCGCATGCTGATAAACCAAGGGGGAAACAGTGGACTTTTGGACTTGAAGTTACTTTTACTTACTTGAAGGCTACTTTCAAGTACTTCAAGTTTACTTTTTGGTACTTTGAGTCTCCTTCGAACTACTTGCGTGGTACTCTGAGCTACTTGCAGCTACTTGGAGCTACTTGAAATTTTTATGAAAGAAATCTAACGGTTATTTCTAAATATTAGCATTTTAATACTTTGCGTTTTTAATAAATAACATAGAGATGTCGCAGTAGAATTAGCATTAATAGCATTAGGGTTAACTAATGCTTAGGTGTTAGCATTAACTTAGTATTATTTTTAATTCTCAAGCATACACACTGTGTCAGTTCTATACCACTACCTTGATATACTATCTTTAACCTTTTAAGGACTACCTGAGGGTATTCTATGTAACCTATTAAGGGCTCCCCGGGGTACTCTTTGTGACTATATAAGGGCTACCAGTTATACTCTTTGTAACTTTTCAGCTGCTTTATTAACATTTTAGCAATATTTTTTTGTATCACTCAAATATGACGCCTAACAATTTATAATGGGCTGATGTTTCTGAAATAACATGTTCGTTGATTTGGATTATGAAAATTTTCGGGTTTATTATGTAGAACATTTAGTTGTATTTTCATGTAAAGTATTCATGGTCTCATAACTATGCAGAAAACGACATGAATGTATAGAATGAAAGTACTGCAAAACTACAGCTGATTTTATTTTTATAGCCATCAGATATCGCTAGTTTGAGTTTTGCCGTTTGATTTGGAATATTCTACTATGTTTTGATTGGATGAAGTCGCATCCGAACAAATTCAAAGTATTCAGGGAATGTCAAAATCTTTGAAAAAACTTCAGAGCAAAGTAACCAACGATTCATTGGTGTTGTAGTTTTTGTCTTACTAATTTAATTTATAGAGATTCTTTGTGCAGAGTTCACACGATAAATATCGCCGCAAGCTTAGTCACAAATTGTGTACGGATTCTAAGAAATCAAGAGCTTTAGTTTAATGGATTGTACCAAATGATTTTCAGAAAAGTTTATGTATTGTGGTTCTAATAAAACAATATTTTCATATATATGGCATTTGAATTGCCTCTTTATGGATAAAGAAATATGAATCACTTTCTTTAATTCTTTTCCACCAATGAGAAAAGTTTTTGTTTTAAATGTGACACAAAAGGATCAAACTTCTTCTCGTTACTCTAACATTTCTCTGTTAGTGCTACGCTTCTTTATGATGATAATATCATATTCGTATTCAGAACCAAACATCTATCGTATGCATATGCATCTCTAATTCTTGCAATATCTAATTTTTAAGTCAAATATTTAGGCTGGAAAATCAAAAAAAAAATAGGTAGAAAAACCTTGATTTTCACTTTGTATCTGGAAATTAATTGAAAAATTTGCAAAGCATATATGAGTCCCCTTGCTTTTTATTTTGAATCTGAATATAATATTATCATCACAAAGAAGCGTAATTTCCAGAGAAGAAATCTAGAATAACGAGAAGTTCGATCTTTTCGCGTCACATTTAGAACAAAATTTTCTCTCATCGGCGAAAAAGAATTAAAGAAAGCGATTCATACTTCTTTAACCGCAAAGTGGCGATTCGAATGGCATACAAATGAAAGTAATTTCTCATTCCAACAACAATAGGTAAACTTTGTCGA